GAACTTTGGAATTTTTGCTTCTTTGGTTCTTCTTGCTCATTTCTCGCGTAAATTCCTTCTAATCGTCATTCAAACTCGGGTTTTCACGTACAAAATAAAAATAACTAAATTAAGTAATAAATTGATAATAAAAACTCACAAATATCTAAATTAATAGTCCGAATAAGTGCAAAAACTCTCACTTATCAGCGACGACCCGAACTGTCAGTTTTTGTACCTCTTTCTCGCTCCTATGTGATTCAATGGATGTCAAAGCCTGTATCTAGTTCAGATTGACCTCAATTCCCTTGTGCGTGATTATGAAGCCCAATAACTTACCCGAGGCTACCCCAAAATCACACTTTGCTGGGTTTAATTTCATTTTATATTCTCGAAGGGATAATAATATTTCTTCCAGATCAGCTATATGTTGGTCCACCTATTTGCTCTTAACAACCATGTCGTCAACATAGGCCTCAATATTTTTCCCGATCAAATTAGCAAAGATTTTGTTGATAAGCTTTTGATATGTTGCCCTTTCATTCTTCAATCCAAATTGCATGATTTGTAACAATATATGGCCGGATAAGTCATGAAAGATATATTTTCTTGATCTTCTTCAGCAATGAGGACCTGGTGATAGCCAAAAAATTGCGTCAAAAAGCTATACAATTTATAGCCCAACGTGCTGTCCACGAAATTGTGAATTCAAGGTAAAGGTTAGCTGTCATTTGTACATGTTTTGTTAAGATATGTGAAGTCAATACATACTCTCCATTTATCATTAGCCTTCATTACGAGACCAACATTAATGAACCAATCAGGGTACTAAACTTCCCAAATAAATCGAGCACTAATTAGTTTACCAATCTCTTTGCGTATAACTTTGCGACGCTCTTGGTGCAAACGGTCTCTTCCTTTGCTTGATTGACTTAGATCCTGGGCTAATATTGAGCTTGTAGACTGCAACCCTAGGATCTATCCTAGACATGGTCTCAACCTTCTAGGTGAATATATCAATATTGCGAGATGGCAGATTATAAGTCTAGCCATGCGAGTGATGTCAAAATCCCGACCGACTATTACTTTTTTACCTCGTTCGACCTCGGCCTCAACCAATTCTTCTATAGGGGCAAGTCTCCTCCGCAGCTCAAGCTCAGGCTTCGGGTGGGGCTCGGATGCTAAGACTTGCATGATGTTAGTACTTATTCCCCGAACAGTATCAATATAACATTGTCTAGCAGTTGACTAGTCTACAAGCACAACCCCTACACCATTACTTGTAGGAAACTTCATAGCAAGATGGAAAGTGGAGACAATAAGTTTGATCTTGTTGAGCAAAGGCCTCCCAACAAAGTTGTAAGCCATCGAAATACAAACTACTTGGAAAGTTGTAATTTCTGTCACTTGCTTTTGATTTGAGCCAAATGTGAGAAGAAGATTGATGACTTCCATTGGGATGATTGTTCTACCTCCGAACCCTGAAGGGGGTTTTTAACTAGAGATGTCAATGGGCCGAGTCGAGCCGGTTCGGCCCTTAAAGCCACGAGCTCGGGTGGCTAGGCTCGTCAATTTTTTCTTTTTTTTTTAGCTTTTCTTATCTTTTTTTTATTTTTTAGTGTTTTTTTCACGAGCCCACGAGCCGGCTTGTGGGCTCGAGCCTACGAGCCGCTCGTGAAAAAATGGCTCGGCTCGTGCTCGTCTTTTGACTAGCCGGAGTGGCTCGTGGCTCGGTGGCAACGAGCCGAGCCCACGAGCAGACGAGCCAGCTCGGCTCGATTGCCACCACTAGTTGTAACTGCTTTATGTTGTTAGATAGAAATTCCCACTTTAGTAAAGGCCCCATGAGAAAGTATGTTGGCTTCACTTCCATCATCAATCAAAATCTTCTTCATTAAAAATTAGCTATGAATGCTGATATGACTAAGGCATCATCAAGAGGAGACAATACACCTTCTAAGTCCTGTGACCCAAATGTGATGTCTTCAAGGTTTGTTATGAACTTGCCTTGAAGTTGAGGTGTATTGCCGAGCATACTACTTTCGTCTACTATTCGAGTCTCCTCCTGATGCTATACTCCCGAAGATAATGTTAATGGTTCATGCTGTGGGATGCTCGTTCCCCTGCATTCAGGAGCCTTTCCTTTATTACGATCATTCATCATGGCTAACATAAGCACCTAGGAATCCTCTTTAGATTAGAGCCTCAATCTCCCATTGTATAGCTTTGCAATTTTCAGTGCTATACCCATGGTCCCGATGGTAATCACAATACTTACTCTTGTCTCGGGTATTAGGAGGGGATTGTATTCTTGAAGGCAATTTTAGCTCTTTCATATCCTTGATTTCCATCAGAATGTTAGACCTAAAAGTGTTCAGCTACGTGAATGATGTTGACGATGTCTCTCATCTCTGCTTATTTCTACGAATTTCTGGTTGTGGATTAGAATCATGCTTTCATTTGTGTTCGGGCTTTTTCGAGGTTGGATGTAGAGTTCTCCTTGGATTCAATATCTCCTATATGTTAATATATCTTTCAGCTTGGGTGAGGAGCTTGTTCATTGACTTCGATGGGGTTTTTTGACAATGACATTTTAAATACCTAACATCTTATGACATATGTAAGGGCGAAGACTGCTGCTATGATATATAGGTCGGGTATCTGAAGTATTTCTTTATTGGACCTCGCCATAAAATTAAGCAGGGATTCTTTTGGTTCTTAACGAAGCTGCATAAAGGAAGCGACAATTTTCCTAATGCGTTTACTACTTGCAAAGGAGGCAGAAAAATTGTAAGCCAAATCTGAGAATGAAGCAATAGAATTGGGCTTTAATGTAGAGAACCAATCCCTGGCAGTGTTAGTCAAAGTTTGTAAAAAAGGTTTGTACAATACCCGATCTATTGCAATTTGCAAATTCATGACATCAGTGTATACATTGTGATGGTTGATCGAATCTGTAGTTCTATTGTATTCTTTTATGTGGGGATACTTGAATCTATCTGGTATGGGATACGACAAGATCTTTGGAGTGAACGGGGTGTTAGCTATGAAACATGTTGGCCTCTTAGTATTCCGATGCATACCAACTGCAGTCCCGTCCTGAATGATCCTTGCAAATTCAGCAGAGTCCACAGTAACTGATCTCGAGCCCGATGTCATGTGAGGTATGCCCGAAGTTCTAGCATCACCGTTGGACTCAGCAACTGAGATAGTGTGTCAACTTTTTAGTGGAGCTCCTTAAATACTTTAGGTGCAACAACTGCTGGTGGGTGTGTTGATACTCCCGATGATTTCTCCTTCGAAACTTGAGGGTATTCAGCTGGGGGCTGGTTGTGAGCAGATGAGCTTGCTAGAAGGTGCCCTGAACGTGTGTTAACCATGACCTTTGGTAGCGTTTCTCACAGATGGTGCCAATGATACTATCAAAAATCGTACTTGTTGATTTTTTGAGCTTGAAGATTGAGAATGAGCACGAACAAAATCTTTCAATACCTAAAATAAAGGCGTCGAAGTGTGTCCTCGTCCCCCCTCCAATAATTAAGGTAGAGAGAATTTATGCGAAAGGCTATATGCTGAAAATTATGTAAAAACGTACCTGAGTAATGAATTAGGATCTTGTATTTATAGAGATAAGTAGCACACTCCTGGTAGGATTAAATTATTTGAATCTCTAAGAGTTTTTCCATACTTAGGAGTTGCAACTTGATAGATTTTGTAAAATTGATAATTGGATAAATATGAAACTCAAGTGTTAGAATCCCAATAGGATAGGACGAAGTAGGTGTTGTAGGACTTAATCTTATCAGAATTGGATAAACCTTATCTTATTGGAGATTCCTAAAAGATTAGGTGTTGTTAGATTCGAGGTCAAGGCATAACTTCGAGGAGATCCCAACCAAAAGAAGGTGTTATTGCACAATGATGTAGGCCGACGAGGTCTACATGGTTTAGGGGGGACGATAGGATACCCGATGAGTGTCCTACCCGTGGTGATAGACCCGAGGAGCATTAGCAAGATATGGTGGGATGGGCACAATTCTTCTTCGTGTGTAAGTGCTCGGGGACAAAAATATTTTTGACTACATCACTAGATATTTTTTTTGAAATGCTCTAGGACTTTCACATTTTTATGCTCCAAATTTAGGTATATAGGCAATGCTCTCCTTTCATTTTTTGTTTCATTTTCTTGGTCAAAATTGCAATAGAACTATCATGCTTCTACAATCATAATATGAAAGCTTTGTTACCATGATTATCCTTTAAATGTGCTGATGCTAATTTGTGTGCAATTGCAAATTCCATAGTCTTACAAAGATAGAAAGTAATGCAGGAATATGTCATAGCTATAGAAAGCTGGGGCACTACTTTGCAAAATGTTCGAAACATTGTCGAGGCCCATAGTGTGGACGTGGCTTTGTGAAATGTTTCGAGGTGAAAAGGAGATCGATAACAAAGGGAGGTTACTCAATTGTTGCGGTGTTAAACGTTGATATTTTGAGTGGATTGAAGAAGGAGAATCAAGTGGAGTTTTTGGCGATGGTGAATCAAGTAGCATTACTTTGGCTAAACCTACAGCTAAGGGTGTAGGTGAAGATTTCTCTTGCATGTTCCAGACTCTAGCTTGGATATCTGTCAAAGAAGACGCCAAGATTTCAGTCAACATAAGAATTCGCGAAAGAAAAGGAAGTGCAGGAGGCAATATGAAAGGAAAGGGGCTGGAATGACACAAGTTATAGATTGAACTTGATATTTGAGTCGTGTTTCTATATGTAGTGGTAACATTAAGTAGTATTTGGGCATTTTTCGAACTGCTTTTTGTATTCATCTTGGGAGTTCGAGGTCATTTATTCTAGTTAAAACATTCACCGGATTTTTGATAAATTAATGATTTAAAGAGAGTACCAGTTCAACTTTTACGCTACAATAAATATATAGCAAAAGAATAACAATTGCATATTAATACAATACACATAGATTAATACAAATCCCAATCATGGAATGGACTCAACCCCTCACGAGCCTGTGCTATCTTTATCATGCACATATGGACTATAATACTGCATCGCATGACCTAATGTAAAATAGAAACTTTAATACACACATACGAAGTAATCAAATGGTAGCATAAAAATTTACTTTCTTACCTTGAGCATTGATATAGCATTTGGTAAAGACGGAGACATTAAAGTGTTGGGAAATTATTTAATT